GGTTGGCACGAATGGTAACAATGGGGATTTTTTCATGTTCAGTTAGGAGGTGGTTGGCACGAATGGTAACAATGGGGATTTTTTTTCATGTTAAGTTAGGAGGGGATTGGCAAAAGCTAATTCCATGAGTATTAAAACTGTGGCTGTGAAATACCACTAGGCCTATGACTATTGAAGAAGATATAATAATATAATATATTACAATAAAACAGAGATTAACATGTATGTGTGATAGAATATCAAATAAATCACTGTGATAATACCACGGAGGTAAGTATCGATCACATGACTGACTAAACACTGAAGGTATTAATTCATGCCCATGTAGCTCAACATGGGAGCTAGGGCTTGAGTAGGAAACTGAAGGAATATGTGTGTCTATAATAAAATATTCAAGTTATGACATCTACATGAGGTGGAATTTTGTCTGTGACAAATACTGAAAGTACAGGCTAAAGACAGTGATTATAGTATTGTTAGTAAAAGTTTTATCAAAGAAATTCAAAAATTCATGAAGTGTACATAAACACAAAGAACGTGTAAAAATTTGCAATTCTCACTGTGTGTTTTTTTTTTTGTTAATAATTTGTATTTTATCATCAGTAACAATGTTTGGTGTTAAAATAGATAAAAAATATAGTGTTAAAAAAACTCACTCTAATTCTGTTGTGTTGTGGCATAATTAAAATAGTTAAAAGTTATTCTTCACTGATTAATCTAGTTTACATAGTCACTGGTATGTCTGTTATATCCCAGCTGGCCTGAAGAACTGTGAGAAAAAGGCCTTGTCAGCACTGGATATAGCATATATGGTATGTTTGATATATTATTATACATTCTTCTTTACTTTCACTCAGAAGTTCTTATTAATTAGTGATGTATTTTATTGTTTTTCAGACCTCACTTGATGCACATCTGTTCCTGATTAAACACCTGTTAATTCTTCGAGAACAGATTTCTCCATTCCAAATTGATTTTGTCATCAAGGAGACAGTTCTTGACTTCAGCCGTATTAAAAGTATGTACGCTTTCTTCAATCTTCAAGATATAAACAAGCGTATATGAACATATGGTTAGCCCAGAAAGAAATATTGCAGTAAAGTAGCAGATAACGAAAACGAATATATCTTGAGTCATTCCTGATTCAAAAATTATCAATCCTTCAAGTGATTTTTTCTTTCATCTTTCACTGTTGAGACGCGATGTTTTGTATTGTTAAAAGCTACAAATCTGCATTTTGGCTCTAAGCTATTTGTAAATATAATTTTTTTCCATATCAAGTAGTTTTGCTCTACAAATAAAATTCTCTGGGCTCATTTGCTCTTTAGTAACTTGCCCCAGATTAATATCTTTTTTTATTAATTGAAATAGTTGTGTAAATCATTATTTCTGTATATATATTGTGACATGTTTTAAGTTTTATCACTACAATTATATTTCGTTATAAACTACTTTGCATACAGGAGTTTCTTATTATTTATGTCTATAGTTCTCAACATTTGGTATTTTCTGATTTAGGTGCTGCTTTTGGCTTACTGCATAAAAAGTCAAAACTTTTCTCTCTAAATTCAAATAATGCTTTGCTCGAGTTTCTGCTCGAGGTAAGTTTTCAGCAGATATTCATATATTTACTTCCTAAAATATTAGAAAGTTAAATTGTTTGCATTTTATAGGAAATTTAAACAACTTTTTTTAAAATGTTAACACGTTAGGAGATTCCTTGTACTTTTACTAATTCTTGAGACATGTTTAACATAACTAGTAATTAGAAAAATTGTTTAAGTGAGGGTTAGCTGAAACTCTTCGGGTGAAGTCATTGTAATACTGATTGTTGTTTAAATATAAATGTATGGTTGAGTAAGGAAGCACGTTATGCTAATACAATAATAGGTAGGCAAACAATGATTTATAAGCATAAAGAAAAGTTTTATTGATGGTGGAACATGTTACATATTTTGACGTAGGTGCGAAGAAGATAGACCAATGTTCTGTCAAAACATCTAATATGTTCCACCAACGATAAAACTTTTCCTTATGCTTATAAATCATTGGTTGCCTACCTATCCAAAGTTTATAGTGCACTAGTCTTTTCAACGTTTAAGTCATTTTTTATAGGTAATAAGCATTATTCGATTGCTAAACTATTACATAAGGCACTTTCTCTGTTTTTTGTTTAGCTGTTTGTAGCCATAAATTAAATGTACAGATTTGTATGTGTATACTCACATGACATGTGTTTTATAATAATTCTGTATTTACTGACATTAGTGGATCTTGTACGTCAGTGTTTTATAATAATTCTGTATTTACTGACATTAGTGGATCTTGTACGTCAGTGTTTGGTAATAATTCTGTATTTACTGACATTAGTGGATCTTGTACGTCAGTGTTTTATAATAATTCTGTATTTACTGACATTAGTAGATCTTGTATGTCAGTGTTTTAAAATAATTCTGTATTTACTGACATTAGTGGATCTGGTATGTCAGTGATTTATAACAATTCTGTATTTACTGACATTATTGGATCTTGTACGTCAGTCACGTTTTATTTATATAAAACTGATACTAAACTTATGCCTTGTAATTTATAGTCAAAATTGTCATAATGTAGATTGTATCTAAAACAAGGCCTGTTGTAGATAGTTTGTACTACAAAGATTAACTTGAATAATTCCAAACTGTACCTACAAGTAGTAGCATTCTTTGTGAAACATCCTACCCAAGCAGTGTGCTTATTGGAGTATAGTTGTAGTGTTGTAGAATATTAAAAGAAAAAAGAGCTCTCACTTGTGCATAGTTTGTGTTATAGAATATAAAAAGAAAACTTTAATTTGGGCATAGTTGTAGAATATTAACCCTCTCCAGATGGGTCACGGGTCAAAGGCCATGTCATAGCATTTGTCGACTTTCATTCAAAATTTTATTGAACTACTATTTCATGAAATTATATTAATAAATTTGGTATCAAATTGTAGATTATAATTAAAATTTTAGTATTATACATTACTTAATTTCTTAATTTAAAAGTAAATATTACAAAAACACAGTTAAATATTGATTATTGTGTGTCATATGGTATGTTGAATGCAGCAGTGGTTCAGATTAGATGTTTGTGACGTCAAAATACTAAGTCTGTAGTTTCGTATGAATTAGGAACTCAAATTACTGATATTGACAAACTAGAATATAAAATAAGAACCTCATATATTTTCTATTTGCTGAGATATCTCATGCACTGAATCAAACACAGTGGCCTGGCTCACCTCTTTCCATTTTTGGAAAAGGTCCATTTTATACACTTACTTCAATATATGACATGTGAATAACCAATCAAAAGCTCAGAATGTCTCCTAGTGGCTTTCTCAGCCATTTTCATGTGTTAGGATACCATTTCTTTCTTTTGAACCAAGATTTCAAGGAGGTAGGTTGTCTTTAGTCTGTTCAAAATCTCATATTTTTTAGACCCACATACAGCTTAGTTACTAAGCTTGATAAATTATTGTGGAATTCTGTGGTATCGATATAGTAATTTATGATTTTTTGGTTATTCAACTGTATGTATAAAACCTAAAAAATATTGTACGTCAAGTACAAAGGTCATAACTAGAAGAGATAATTGTTTGCTTTACTTCTTTATTTACTGTTCTATGTTTTAAGAAAAATATGTTTAAGAACTTATTTCTAAATAGTAATAATCTATATGCATATATAATTTATAATAATAGAAATGTGACTGTATTTTACAAAATACTAGTCTACTAAAACACAGCCAAGACAGGTCACTTTGTAAAGACAAAAGGTCAGTTTTATATTATTGGATATGGTAACATAGAGCACGTGTGCCACGTCATTATAACTTCTATATTGATAGCCAGGCACAGCAGAAAGGTCAGTATAATATAACTATATATATATAAATGTATGACGTTATGAGATTTAAGCTATTTAGTCTAAACATTTATGTTTTCGTGTTATAATTTGTTGTCATTCTAGAACGAAAGAAGCATAATTTATATTTATTTCATAATTTTTTATGATGGTTACAAGATTGGTCAAATCTACCAAACCCATACAGAGATTTGTTAGTGAAAATAACAGATAAAATATAAAGTTTTCTTCTTAAGAAACATTTGATAACTATTTGGACATTATAAGATTTCGCATATGAAATTTGAAAAGTTTTTGATGCATAAAAGTATTTCTTATATTAAAATGAAAATTACTTTGCATGTTGGATAGGCAACATGTGAAAAGAAAAAAAGGCATGAGAAAAACATTGCTTAACAAACTTTAAGGCTTAATAAAAAATTTGATATTTTGCATATGAAAGCATTGTAATGTGTACTGATAATTTGCCAAATTTTGTTAACATGCGCTTACTAATTTAAAAATTATAGCATGAAAACTATAACAAGCACAAAATGGTTACAAAGTTGGTCCCAGGGACCAAGCCTGTGCTGAAAGAGTTAAAAGAAAAAAAAAGTTATTTTTTCGGCATAGATGTAGTATTGTAGAATATGTTAAAAAAGGTTTCATTTGGGCATATCTTCACCGTTAAAGAATATAAAATAATAAAAAAAAGAAAAGAGGAGGTATTTGTGCAGAGTTGAAGTGTTAGAATATAAAGAGTTGTGTAGATGTAGTATTGTAGAATATGTTAAAAAAGGTTTCATTTGGGCATATCTTCACCGTTAAAGAATATAAAATAATAAAAAAAAGAAAAGAGGAGGTATTTGTGCAGAGTTGAAGTGTTAGAATATAAAGAGTTGTGTAGATGTAGTATTGTAGAATATGTTAAAAAAGGTTTCATTTGGGCATATCTTCACCGTTAAAGAATATAAAATAATAAAAAAAAGAAAAGAGGAGGTATTTGTGCAGAGTTGAAGTGTTAGAATATAAAGAGAACAAAATAGATATCATTCTTAATTGTCCCTGTTACAAAAAAACTAATATAGTTATATTTAAAAACATAGTATCCTATTAGTAATTTGGATTTGGAAGGTTTGTCTGTGCATGTTGTACCATTGTCTTGTTAGTTTATAAGTTCCTCTGATGGAAATTATGTAGTCAAAATGTGTTACAATCACATGAAACTATGTTAGTGAAATAGCATAATGTTTGAGTTGACAGACTTAAAGAATGGCATGAGATATGCACTAATTTTGGATGGAAATTTAATATTCTTGTGACCTCTAAAGTTTTTCGTTTAAGATTACTTGGTTGTACATTATAAAGCGTTATTGTGTAATTCAAGCAATTTCTCTAGTTATCCTATGATTGTGGATTTGTTTTATCTGATTTCTGTTTTTATATTATTATATAAGAGTGACTGTAATTTCAGCATTTTCTCATTTTTCAACTGTGATTACACCAGTTGTTTTAATTGTATTCTGTCTATGAATTATGTGCGTACATGGTGGTTGTGCGATGAACTGTGTGTTTTTTCATACTACTATATGATACAAATACACATTTGTCGCAAACTTCTAAATATGACCTAATATTTGATAATATATGTATGTATATTCCTTACATATAAAGTGTGTTATATTTAATTACTGGACTAAGAAAGGTTGAGAACCTCACATAAATCTCTGTGTATGATGATTTCATCAGGGAACACCACAAGTCATGGAAAATCTTGTCGATTCCAAAAAGGCCGTTGACAACCAGTTGAAGATAATATGTGAGGAATTCATTGCAAATACTGTTGAAATGTTAATAGGACAGCTTCTTATTTTCCTGAATAAGGTAAGGTTTTAGTAAAGGAGCTACAGTTTGATTTAAAAAGGCCATTTTTCTACAGAGTAAATAATTAATACATTCAAAACCACAGAGAGGTCCTGCTGTAAAAGGACTTTGTGATGCAAAATATTTGTCATTTTTTTCAGTATTTCTTATGTAATGCATTACGTGTAATTATTACTGGTACACATTTTATTACGAGCGTATTAATCACAGCTACTGGCTTATATTTGTGCATTAATTTATTTAGAATCAGTTAATATGAATTTCCTTTTGATATTTATTAGTGAAGAATTTTTGTCATTTCACAGGTAGAAAAATTAAAAAGTTTATCTATTGTTACTCCTGAGAGTATAAAAACTATTAAGGAGTTTAATAATTACTTTAAGAAATATGTAAAGAAAATGTTTACGTTTAGAAATTGTAAGACCAAACATTGTAAACATTCTAAAGCGATTAAAATGTTAATTGTTTATTTTTGTTGTGCAGTTTTCATCAATACACTTCAAATTTACTATTCTTATAATTAAAAATTTTTTTTATGTAGGCTAAAGTCATCTTAGAAGTTGGGGAGAAAGAGGCTACACGACAAGTAGTGCTGAAGAACCAGCCTTGGGCTAGCCCGGAAAAAGTGTCTGAACTTGTTAATGAAGCGTACAAACATTTAAAAAACAAGCTTCCGAACTTGGCAAATAGCATGTCGCTATATTTAGCCAACAGAGATACAGAGCACATTCTGTTTAGGCCAATCAGGGTACGTATTTTGTGTACCAGTGATAAAAAAATCACTGTTGAGAATGATCGGTTACTTTTCAGAATGGGGCTAGATTTAAGTTATTGGTTGATACATTGGGCTGCTGATCAAAAAACCCAAGGTTTGTGCTGTGAGATGCCACTCAACACACACTAAACCTTTATTAAGTTGTGCTGTGAGATGCCACTCAACATGCACTAAATCTTTATTAAATTGTGCTGTGATATGCCACTCAACACGCACTAAACCTTTATTAAGTTGTGCTGTGAGATGCCACTCAACACGCACTAAACCTTTATTAAATTGTGCTGTGATATGCCACTCAACACACACTAAACCTTTATTAAGTTGTGCTGTGATATGCCACTCAACACACACTAAACCTTTATTAAATTGTGCTGTGAGATGCCACTCAACACAACTAAACCTTTATTAAATTGTGCTGTGATATGCCACTCAACACACACTAAACTTTTATTAAGTTGTGCTGTGAGATGCCACTCAATACACACTAAACCTTTATTAAGTTGTGCTGTGAAATGCCACTCAATATGCACTAAACTTGTAGTTATGCCATGAGAACCAATCCTGCTGTTAGTCAGATGGTGAATTTGATTTATTGAAACAACTTGTTATCCAGGAACATCGATTACATTGATTAATGCCATGTAAAATAATCGATCAATCAAAATGAGCCATATTTAACCCATGTGTCACATAAGGTGTCATTTGGGTTAAAAGTACCAAATACTTTAATTACAAATTTCAATTTTCTGAATGTATTATGTACACTTTTCATATATCCTTTTAAAATCTATTTTCATTTTACAAGAATTATTCGGAAACCATGTCGTAACTGTCAGGAGTGTTGAGTTACAAAAAGGGTGGAAAGAGTTCTGAATACAGCTTTTATAGCAAGATGCTTTATTTAAAGCAAAAGAATGAGAATGAACAGCTTTACTTGGAGCTTAAAAAGACAGATAACCCCTTGTAATCTGTAAGAGTGGAACATGTATGCAATTTGAGAGAATACACAACAAAAATGACCAATTTTATCCTGATATTATGTCTCACGTTGTCAGAGTATTGTATTATATTTTACGATCATATAGTTTTATTGTAAGGATTAGGTCTAACATTAATCTTGAGATGTATATATTTACAAATTGTTGTCTCTCCTATATATATATATATATATAAATCATCAATGATACCTTCCATTCATCAAATAATGTAGCTAGTGTTTTCAGCAACAACTTTGTTGAAGTGTAATTTGCTTGATAAATAAAAACTTTTGTTTTTTTTAGAACCGAGTTCAATCTGCCTTTGAACAGCTTCTACAGCTAGTTCGAACGAACTACAGTGAAGATGAACAGTTGATAATTGGTTGCCCATCTACTGATCAGGTATTATAAATAAATGCCATTCTTTGTATCTAGTATAAGCTAGGTTATTATTGAGGTTTCAAAAAGTATTCAGGTTCTTATAACTGAATTGTTAAATTATTATAATTTTTTTGAGACAAAAAAATGTGGTTGTTATGGAAACCATTGTTTCAGTTTTTAAGTTATTTCTATTTTAAGTGCTAGAGTAATTGGCCTATTCTGTAAGACAGGTGTGGCTTCTGGTTTTTTTCTGTGATTTTATTATATATAAAAGATAACATTAATAAGAACAACAACCTGAATAACTTAAGGACCAAAATTTATAACTTTGCATGAATTGACATTGTTTATATCTTTAAACTTTAGAATTTTAGTTTTGATCTGTGACAGATCTTGTCAACTTGGTTAAATATGCTGTAGTTTAAGTGGTCTTGTCGTAGTGGATAGATGTTGAAGCGTAATGAAACTAAACTATCGAAGTTTTGTACTATTATGTTCTTATTTAAAAAATGGAAGTATGATGATTTACAAGCATGCAAAATGCTGGAATATTTTATTGAAATTAGTTTGCAGTGATATTTGATACAAGAACCGTGGATATAGTAAAAAAAACAACAAAATTAACCATGTAAAGTTTATAGCTTTAGAGTATTTTATTTAATTATTATTATTTCATGTACATTTAAACCTTACCTTGAAATTATTCATCTTCAGATCAGCCTTCTATTGTCATCTGCCATTATCAGGTGAAAGTTAGCCATCAGAGTCTGTGGTGGTGTATATTCTCCAATAAAGCACTGGGAACAAAGAAAGGTCCTGTCAGAATTTGAAGCAGATTAGCCTACATGGAGATGATTAGTTCAAACACATTTTTTCTTGACTGTTTTGGTTTATGTAATGGTGAAGTTAGGTTTATTACTTCTGGGGTTTTACAATATCATCTTAACAATCACGTAAGTTCTGACAAATGAAAGAATTTTGATTGGCTGTTTAGTAATACATTTTCATAATGCCTAAGAAGTGGCTCTACATTTAGTTCACTTTTCTTGAATACCTTTGGTAATGAAAAGTGGTGTCTGGACATGTTTGTTAAACTTGGATATAATACTAATTCTTCCACCTAAACTAGATGGACAACTGTTTAAGCTTCAGTCTTTTTTTATTCACAGTGAAAAAAAAGATATGTGTATAAAAACAGAAACTACACAAATTATTTAGTAACCTCATACTTGTCTGAATTAATTTTAAAATTATGAAACAGAGCAGCATATGTGATGATGAGGCTATTTATCTTATGAATATTAAAGTAAACACATGTTGAACTTCTGTAAAAATTTCATTGCTGTAAAAAAACTCAAATACTTACTAAGAAAAGTAACAATGATGTAGATTATTGTATGAAACAGAACAACAATATTGATTAGTAAAATCCATTCGTAAAATAATGTTTCAACCACAAATACAAATATTGTTCATAAAAATGATTTAGCTTTTTATCTGTGTTTTGAACAATTTTCTATAGTTTCTTGACACAGTGGTCTTTTTTTGTATTTTAATATTTACATCCTGAAAGTGTGAAAACTAAGACAATATGCACATATTTGCCTGTAGAGTAAGGAAACGAAAGTAGTTGAGAAATATTGAAGTTGTATTGTTTGAAAAGGTATATGAAGTGTTAGAAACATGATGTTTTAACAAGATACACTGTATTTGGAAGATGGAGACCCACTGTCATATGACAGTGATAGAACAACAACAGTTTAACAAGAGCTTATTTCTTGTGAAGATGGATACGTCTATTTTCTTTTGTTATTCTCCAAAAGCTCTATAAATTAGCTTGTTAAAATGGGTTGCAGTAACTAGATGGAAGACCTCCCCAATTACATTATCTATAGTAACTAGATGGAAAACCTCCCTAATTACATTATCTGTAGTAACTAGAGGGAAAACCTCCCTAATTACATTAATCTGTAGTAACTAGATGGAAAACCTCCCTAATTACATTATCTGTAGTAACTAGATCTAACACCCCCCTAATTACATTATCTATAGTAATTAGATGGAAGACCTCCCTAATTACATTATCTAGAATAACTAGATGGAAGACCTCCCCAATTATATTATCTATAGTAATTAGGTGGAAGACCTCCCTAATTACATTATCCAGAGTAATTAGATGGAAGACTCCCTAATTACATTATCTATAATAATTAGATGGAAGACTCCCTAATTACATTATCTGTAGTAACTAGATGTAAAACTTCCCTAATTACATTATCTGTAGTAACTAGATGCAAAACCTCCCTAATTATAGTATCCAGAGTAACTAGATGGAAGATCTATCTAATTACATTACCTATAGTAACTAGATGGAAGAATGGAAGACTTCTAATTATGTAATCTAGAATAAATATATAATGACAAAAATTTTTTAAGCAAATGAGCTTAAAAATTAAAATCAGTTTGGGCTGCCTATGATTTCCTTGTTAATCAGTGAATGGTAAATTATCATTTCTGTTTAACAGATATTACAGTTTAAGGGTGTTTTTATAACACCTGTCTATAAAAATATGTATGTATGTGATTTTTTGGTAAAGCACATTACACAATTTTACATGTTTCTTCTAATCACCTGAAGGTTTGGTTGCTGGGACATACTGATCAGTTCAGAGTTATCCAGAAAAATCCAGTTAGTGATGTTTTTGTTTGTGGGATAAATGGGAAAGTACAACAGTTGTTTCCAGAGTGAGAAAGAAAGTGAGATGTATATAATTTAAAAATAAAAGATATTGTATAGAGTTTTGTTTTTGTGGTTATTGGAATCCTTAGTTCAGGGAGATTTTTGCTTTGGTCCATTGGGTTAATCTTTCTCAGCAATGGTGAGATAGTAATGAAGTCTGTGTTTGTGCCAAATTTCTGCCATATTACTTGAGATAAAAATTGACAGAGCCAACACTAGAACTGTAAAGAAGAAAACTACAAGGATTGTTTCAAGAAAAGTACTAAGGGCCATAAAAGTATTAATGACCCAATACTTTTTCATGTCAAACAAAGCATAAACAGGGTGTCCGAAAAGTCTAGAACCATAGGTATTTCAATGAATTTTGCAGAATGTGTTCCACATGTTGGCCTTATAGATAATAAAATTTGGATTAACGGCAAGATTAACTCGACCGTCTCATTCTTTGACAGCACCGTAATCAGTCACGTATCTGAAATTAAGAGAAGATACAAATCACCTATGGACACTCTGTATATATAGGTGTATGTACATATTTCATGTGACTACACCACACTTGATGTTTTTAATTAAAACACTTGTTTTTATCAAATCACCTATGGACACTCTGTATATAGGTGTATGTACATATTTCATGTAACTACACCACACTTGATGTTTTTAATTAAAACACTTGTTTTTATCAAATCACCTATGGACACTCTGTATATAGGTGTATGTACATATTTCATGTGACTAGACCACACTTGATGTTTTTAATTAAAACACTTGTTTTTATCAAATCACCTATGGACACTCTGTATATAGGTGTATGTACATATTTCATGTGACTACACCACACTTGATGTTTTTAATTAAAACACTTGTTTTTATCAACTCGACCATTGAACTTGAATCTAATGTCTCTTGTTTCAGTGGCTTTCATAATAAGAAGTAAAGTTGTGGTTCACTTTTATTTTTATCTTTAATTTGTGTAAAAAATGAGAACTTAGAAACACTTTAAATTTTCATTCGTGTAATTTTCCACATTAGAAGATAAAAAAAAAATCTATAAATGCACAACTTTGGTAAATAAAGACCAAAGTTAAAAAATGATGTCAACTTATGGACTCGGGGCTAGCATGGTCCAAGTGGTTAGTATTCTGGACTACGAATCTGTGGGTTTATGGTTCACGTCTCGCTATTGCAAGCAAAACCACTGTCCACACTATAGGTCTCTTAGTTAAACTATAAGAGTGACAGTTAAATATCACTATTTGTTCAGACCGGAGTAGCCCAAGAGTTAGCATTGGGTGCTATTGAAGTCAATAGTTCTTAGCAGGTGCATGAATATCCAAAGACAAACAAATTATGAATCCAATACTTGTATAAAACTCGAAATATAATTGGTGGCCATTAGAAAATATACAACATAATATCTACATATTTGGTATATGGTTAGTATCTAGGCAAAATATACTGTGTAATCTCAGTTTATGAACTAGGGACTTGTTTTTGTTTTTTTAATGTAGTTATTTAAAGGTGTAATGTAATAATTTTAAGTAATTAAAAGTGCCTTTCTAGGGATAGTTAGTTGGTTTACTATTTGGCGAGGTCATCACGGGTCAAGAAAAACAAAAATTTGGATTATTGGAACCCAACAAGTGATTGTCTCACGACCTTGAGATAAAGCCTGAATGTTGTATTTTCGTATTTTTTTAGATGAAGGCAGTCTTTTAACTGGTACCCATAAACTTAGATTTTTGAAAAGTGTTTTATGATTTTAACGTGACGTAGGTTGGCTCTGTGGTAGAGCTCTAGATTTTGGAGCTGCCGGCCGGGTTCGGATCCTTGCGATACCACAAGATGTTTCGGTTTTAGGGTTGCTGAGTGGTCAGAAGTTCCAAATTAGGGACTGCAGCAGATTGCCTTCACAGCTTTGCCATAGATTCAAATATAATTTTAATTACATCACTGTTCAGGTATATTGATTTGCGATAAGTATAAGTTTCTATGATGAATAGACGAGAGAGAGAGCAGCTTGTCGAAACAACCCACCGCCAACTCTAATCGAATAGCGGGATTAACCGTTACATCATAACACCTCCGCTGTTGAAAAAGCGAGCATTTTTGATAATGGGATTCGAACACGTGTACCACAGATTGGAAGTCGAGCGCTATTAAACTTCAAACCATGCTCAAAAATGGATAATTATATACTTAGAAAGTAAACTAAGAGTTAATTATTACAGAATTCTCCCTGAATATAATTATGTTGCACAATATCTTTAACTGTTATTATTAATTTATATTTAAAAAATGTGCAAGAAAGAATTTTTTCTGTGGTTTTCAAATCAAGTCAGAAAAATGGAGTACTCATATTATTTTCTTACACATGTGTACCGATAGTGGGCGCTAATGTAAAGGTGAGAACTTCCCTAAACCAAAATAAATTCCTTCCAATGCGAGCATAGAGGAGGGGGTTGTCAAAGAGAATTAACTAAAAAAGAGATGTGCATGAAGTTTGTCCCTTTAGGCAAAAAGCAAGCATGCAGTTAATTAATCGTGCAAATAGGAATAACATATAGCAAGATGTTCCTAATTAAAACGGTGTACGAAGCGTAATTTTAAAAAAGAATCCCAATATATTGATGATCTTGATATCGTTATGGAAAATAGCTTAGCTTAAGTGTTAGGAAAATGCTAATAGCATGACAAAAAATCATTTTTCCGATATTGATCCTGTGACATTAGTTGTTGAAACTAGAGGCGCTCCCTCCACCCCAGTAGCACAGCGGTAAGTTTGCTGAGTTATAACTCTAGAAACCGAGTTTCGATACCCGTGACGGGCATAGCACAAATAGCCTATTGTGTAGCTTTGTTCTAAACTACAAACAAATCAAAATGGAGCAAGGCAGACCCACGATATGCGTTGACTGCTTGAACTGATTTCCATTCGTTGTCTGTCCAAACATTTTGCCAAATCCTTTAATATCGAATGCTTTTGCGAATATATTTCTCAGCATTTGAGTATGTGACACATAATCTTAAATATTGAATATTTTACGTACATACTTCTTAGTGTCCCGGACTGTGGGTCCAAGGCTCCATGATTTGCGCACCGTTACCGTCAAAAGAATAAAAAAAGCGCTCTGTATTTTGGGGCTTTGGGTGTTTTATAAGAGTAATAGTCAAATCCCAACAGGACACTTACCCCCATCTGAAAACTGAGAAACATAAATCTTTCTTTATTCATTCAGTATATGAATTTTTTATTCAATTCACAATTCTTCACTTTGCCCTCACCCCAGAACAAATTTCTGCCTTGTGTTCAGTAGTTGTTTTCCTTCTAGTTTATCGCTTCTAAATTAGCGTAGGTAGCCTTCGAATAATTTTGCGTGAAATTCAACAACCACCACCATCGTATCCCTTAGCACCTGAGGGTGTGCCTCTCATGTGGTGCATATTTTTTGCTGTTTTATTATTATTATTATAAAATAATAAATATATTTATGCGCAATATGACCTCATCTGCCAATCAAATACCACTCCGCCTAGGTAGCAGTAAAATATGAAATGTGAATCTCAAGTGTATTTAATCAAAAACGGAAAACAAATCGATAACCTGTGCGCTTTCGGAAGCTTTCTTCTTCAGGGCTAAAATATTTTGAAAGCACGTAGTTGACATACCTACACTGATATACGAAACTATTTTTATCTCAGTAATAACATATTTACTGTTAAAAATTGACAAGCCAGTGAGTATACAGGGCTATCAATCACGTTCAGGAACAATGGCCAATAAGTAGGCGTTGTTAGTCTACGTCAGCGTTTCATTTTATGTCAATCTTTAACATTTGAGATCATATATATTTACTGATTTTTAGTATTGTTTTATGATTCCAAGGGAATGACTTTCCCGCTGTTTATAATATCCATGAACATATATTTAGTAAACATTTTATATCTTTTATTTCAATTCTTACTGGTAACAATTGAGTTGTTTTAATTTAATGATAGCCATCTTATTAAATATTATGTTTGTTTGTGTTTTAATGTTTTAAATTTCAACTTTCTGGTGATGTTATTAATATTTAATTGTGTTTGTAAAAGCAGATTACCGGTACTGTACTGTTACGACAGCGGAAGTTACGTGACCCTAGTAACACGTGGCGAGATTCTAGTATTTTCTAGGCGCCCTCTATTTTAGTATATAAGCCCGGCAAATAAAGCGGTGATAATTGCAGATAGACAGATAATTGAGTCAGTCAAGTGAGCGATAGTGTACCGTAAGTAAATTGACGCGAATCGTTGTGAATTATAGCGTGTGTTTAAGTTAAACTGACAGAAGAAATTCTGTGTATTGCAAAGTTGTATTGAGAAAGAATAAACTAGTTTTATTTAAGAAAGGACTTGTATCGCTGAAGTTCCTCGGGAAAAATTTATACCGGAAATTAACAAACGATCAGAGACGTAACAGTACGTTATTGTGATAAAAATTATAAACATGTAATCTGCTTATAACATCTACTACAGTTCTCAGTTCGTGTCTTTACATTAAAATAAGGCAATAAACACAGCCCTTAAAGTTACCGAAGTAAGTGCTATGCCTCAGAATTAACAGTTTTCTTATCAATAAACCCATGGCTGAACACTAACGCTAGGAAGCCATTATAATTGTAAATAGTTTCTGCTCCTAGATAAATTAAAAATAAATAAATAAAGACTATTCTTATCTTGCGTAGGAAATCTCTTTTAGTGAGACACGAAATGGATTTTCAGGCTAATTTAGAAGAGTACAGAGCAAGACCGGCTCAACTTGTTAATTGACATCCATTTAAATGTAAATATAGAACCGACTTCTAGCACCGTATTTATCCCAACGTGAAACCCTCTGTACGGTTTAGCTTGCATGTGTTAATCACACTTCAAGAAGTAAGCCACATTTACTTTGGCGGAGGACCCTAATTACCTTTGGAATTATTTCTTTGCCTTATAATAAATATTAGTACTAATAAGAAATATATATATATCTGGTATATGTTTTTGCCTTTAATAGAAGGTACATTAACCTTTATT